GGCTGCCCCGTCTCCAGCAGCTCTCACCTTTTCCCTCGTCGAGTACATCTGTGAGTACATCTTCTCAGCCTTCTCCAGGTAGCTCTCCCCAGACTCCTGCAGGGACCAGACGGAAGGGATCGATACGGACGACCCAGGACCTCTCCCAGCACCCTGGGCACGGATCCCCACCGAAGGGAAGGCCCTGCCTGGCCTGTCTGCTCGGCTCCCACTGCATCACACAGTTGGGCAATTCCCCTGCTTTGAAAAGCAGCACTGGGGGAAGTTCAGCAGCTCTGGGAATGATCAGAACAGGCCGTGGAGCTGCTGCCTGTCAGCACTAGGCCAGTTCAGACTGGCCACCACTGCTGCTGGCGAGATTCTGCACCCTCTGGCACAGCCCCCCAGTTGCCAGCTCGCCCCAGTACCTGCTGGTGGAGGCCCAGGCGCAGCGTCACCCCCTCGCTCCCCTGCTCGTCGTTGCTCTCGGTGCCGTGGAGGTGTCTGCTGAATTTGGGGAGAGGGACGCTGGGCTTCCCGTCTGGGTTGAACATGTTGGCCGGGGCCAGCACGATGAAGGCGTTTGTGATGGGGCCTGGGATGGGACAAGAGGAGGGGACGGGTCAGGATTCCCCCGGCCTCCCTCCCAGCACCCAGGGAGAGCCAGAGCCCCTCGCCCTGTCCTTGGCAGTGGGGATGCAGCTCCGCAGCCAGGAGGGGAGTGGGGTGGCCCAGGCACCCCCCCAGAGCCCGGGCAGCCCCCGCAGAGCCCTCGATCCATCACACGCCCGCCCTCGGCAGGGCTGACGAGCTCTTTAATTACCGCATTTGCCCACACAGGGCAGCCCCCTCCACCCACCCTCCCGAGCAGCTCGGGCACCCCTAATAAACCCCCAGCACCCATCTGCCCCCGGCCGAGCTCGACAGCACGGGGGGAAAGGTTAAAAGGACCCAGATGCACCTGAGGCTGCTGCAGCGCCCACCCCAAAGGTGCAGGATGAGGGAGGGAGCCCAGGGGGCCTGGGGGGGCTCAGAGCCGTCCGAGTCTTTCAGAGCCTCTGATGCAGACAAGAGCTCCCTCGCCAGCATCTCCTCCAGCTAGGCCAGAGCCTGCCCTGACCCTCCCGGGATCCCAGGCTGGATCCCACTGGCAAGTCAAAGGCTTAGGACAAAGCCAGAGGAAGGGACAAGACAGGCAGAGAGAAGAAAAACTCAGAAACTAGTGCAAAGACCCCAAACCTGGCACCACCCAGGCACAGGCCCCCGGCCGCTCTCAGGCCCGGTGCAGACACGAGCCCCGTCCCCGTTCCCCCCTCACGATGGCACCGGGCAGGGTGACACCCAGTGTGGGCAGGGGGCAGACTGGGCTGGGGGGGATAAATAATCCCTCCTCCCACGCTGGCAGCTGGATGGGCTGGAGAGTCCCCAGGGTGACCTCACCTGAACGGGGACAGCCTGTGCCACACGGCATCAGCAGAGAGGATGGAGCTCACCTGACAGGACAGAACTGGGGCCTGGAGGGATTTTGGGGCAATGCCCCACCCCAGAGGTCTCCTGTGTCCCCTCGGAGCAGTGCCAGTCACCAGCCACACCGGGTGACTTGGTGCAGCCTGGCACAGTCACAGCTCACTACCCGAGGGCAGCAGCAGCCCCACTGCTCCAAGACCTGCCCCTGCTCTGCCCCACCTCACCAAGGACAAGCAGACCTTGCTGGAAAAGGCCCCTGCAGCCGTCCTGCCTCACAGCCACGCTCCAGCCCCTCCTGTTTCCAGCACCATCAGGTGGGGAGCACACTGGCTTCTGCCATGGCCCCAGCCTCCTGCTCTGCCCCATGAGCAGAGGGACCTCACTCTCCCCAGGAGGAGCTGGAGGTTGCTGTCATGTCAGCCTCAGCAGAAAAGCCCCTGTCGTGTCTGCCTGGGGAAGGGAAAGCTCAGAAGGTGCTGGAGGGATGAGCAGGGCAGCAGAAGGGAACAGACCTTGCTCAAGGCTCATGTCACTGCTCAGAGAGGTGGCAAGAAAGGCCAAGGGGAGGACAGGGACCTGCTGGAAAGCAGCACTGCAGGGAACTCGCTGCCCCAGTAAGATGAAGCTGCTGAAGAGAAGCAGCTGGGACAGAGGAGCTGCAGAGCTCCCAGCACAGACCCCCTGTACAGCTCTCTGGGGTGGTGGGCTCCTCTGCACAGCAGCTCCCAGCCTGCTCCCAGGCTCACACGAAGCACCCGGCAGCAGCAGGGTGGCAGCGGTGCCAGGGCTGCCGGGGAAGCCAAGTCCCTGCCCACGGGAAGCAGGGAGCCCGCAGAGGCTGCAGGGAGCCCCCGCCCCCAGCGGCACGGTGACCTGGCCCTCGGGGGAGGAGCTGTGTCCATCTGCAGCCCGAGGAGGGTTTGGCCTGGCTCAGGGGGAAGCTCTTCCCCCTCTCTGATGACTCACAGCTCAGGCTCTGTCTAAGGCTAGTGGAGTGAGGCTGGATGGGCACTGCAGTGGGTCCCCATTAGAAACGGTCCTTGGCAGCAGGAGGAGAGGAGGGAAGGATTCTGGAGCAGCCTGTCTCTCAGCACTGCCCTGAGGAGCAGCTCAGCAGCTGCCCAGAGGCAGCATCACGGAGGAACAGGGCCTGACCTTCACCCCACCACCCTGGGGGGGTTCAGGGGCGCAGCGGTGCCACGAGACCACGCCAGAAACCCCGTCAGCAACAGCCCAAAGGGAGGGGGGAGAGGAGAGACCCCCCACTGCCCCAGGCACCGCGCCGCGGGGGAGCCTCTTGTTTGTTTGCTCGGTTTGCTGGAGCCACCAGCCTGAAAGCCCAGACGGTCACTTATATCAGATTCACTTCAGGCCCAATAAGCTCAGGGGTGCTCGCGCTCACACAGACAGTCTCTCCTCCAGACACATCCTCCCACGCCCTCCCCAGGCCTTGGGGTGCATGTGGGGCAACCGCTCCCTTGGGAAAACAAGGGGGAAGATCCTGGATGTCCTCAGCAGCAGGGTGAAATCTGTGACTCACTCCCTGACAGCGCACAGGGGGTTGTTAACAGACACAGGCAAGGTCAAACCACGACTCCGGAGCGTCCCTCCAACGCCTCTGCCCTTCCTGGAGGTGTGGGGCAAGCAGCAGAGGAATGTCTGGAGCGCCCAGGGCAGCGGCAGAAGGGAGAGAGCTGCTGGGGAGGAGGGGGTCTCGGAGACAAGGACGTGCCTACCCTTGTGATTCATCGTCTTCAGGCACTGCTTGCTCTGGATGTCCCACAGCCGAACGGTTTCGTCGTGCGAGCCGGAGAGCAGCAGGCTGCCATCCGTGGAGACTGACAGACACGTCACCTGGTTCCTGGAACGGGGAACAGGGCGTCTGAACTCGGGACGACCCGAGGATGGCGAGGAGGGCAGCCAGGGGCAGTGAGGAGTCGGGCAGGCGTGGCTGGTCCCTCACCTGTGCCCTTTGAAGACCTTCCCGTTCTCCCGCTCCGTCTGGAAGGTCCGGTCTCTCTGGACCGGCTGCAGAAATGAAGGAAGGAAGGAAGGGAGCAGTTTAAACTCAGGAAGGCTGAAGCCAGCAGGTGCATCCCTGTGTCTGGAGGGGGCAGAGGAGACACAGGAGAACCCAGACCCTGGGTGCTGTGTCAAGACCAACACAGAGCAGATCTGCAGCCCCATGCACTCACCCAGGCGCAGAGGTCGACCTGGAAGATGGACCCATCCATGCCCCCACAGAACATGTGGTACTCAGCAAGGTCCAGAGTCACAGCCATGATCCCCACGTCGAACAGGACGGAGAGCAGGAGCTCCCCAGACGAGATTTCCCAGAGCTGGAGTGAGGGGGTACAGCAGAATTAGGGGCTTACATGTGAGGGGCAGGATTGGAAGAACA